CTATCTATCTATCTATCTATCTATCTATCTATCTATCTATCTATCTACCTACCTACCTACCTACCTACCTACCTACCTACCTACCTACCTACCTACCTACCTACCTACCTACCTACCTACCTACCTACCTACCTACCTACCTACCTACCTACCTACCTACCTACCTACCTACCTACCTACCTACCTACCTACCTACCTACCTACCTACCTACCTACCTACCTACCTACCTACCTAGTAATATTTGTAATGAGTAACGTAGAAGTATTTTTTAATATTTGGTATTATTAAATATCACCCAAATCTACTGCAGTGATACAGTGGGGAAAATATTTGATCCCCTGCTGATTTTGTAAGTTTGCCCATTTACAAAGAAATGAAGGGTGTGTAATTTTTATGGGTAGGTTTATTTTAATGTGTAGAGACACAATACCAACCAAAAAATCCAGAAAAAACACATTATATAAAGGTTTAGAAATTGATTTGCATTTCCGTGAGTGAAATAAATATGAGATCCCCAAGCAAAACATGACTTAGTACTTGGTGCAGAAACCCTTGTTGGCAAGCACAGAGGTAAGACGTTTCTTGTAGTTGGTCACCAGGTTTGCACACATCTCAGGAGGGATTTTGATCCACTCCTCTTTACAGATACTCTCTAAATCCTTAAGGTTTCTTGGCTGTCGTTTGGCAACTCGAAGTTTCAGCTCCCTCCACAGATTTTCTAAAGGATTGAGGTTTGGAGACTGGCTAGGCCACTGCATGACCTTAATGTGCTTCTTCTTGAGCCACTCCTTTGTTGCCTTGGCGGTATGTTTCGGGTCATTGTCATGCTGAAAGACCCATCTTCAAGCCTTCCCTGAATCATTTAGATGTTCATTGGCAAACTTTAAACGGGCCTGTACATGTGCCTTCTTGAGCAGGGGGACCTTGCGGGCGCTGCAGGATTTCAGTCCATTGCGACGTAGTGTCTTACCAATGGTTTCTTTGGTGACTGTGGTCTCAACTGCCTTAAGCTAATTAACAAGCTCCTCCCATGTAGTTCTGGGCTGATCCCTCACCTTTCTCATGATCATCCTTACCCCATGAGGCTAGATCTTGCACGGAGCTCCAGACCATAGCCGATTGATGGTTGTTTTGTATTTCCTCCATTTCCGAATAAGTTGTGTCCTTCTCACCAAGCTTCTTGCTGACCATATAACCACATAACCAGTCTGTGGGAGCCAGAATTCTTGCTGGTTGGTAAGAGAACAAATACTTATTTTACTCACTGAAATGCAAATCAATTTCTAACATTTATATAATGTGTTTTTTCTGGATTTTTTGGTTGATATTCTGTCTCTATCCATTAAAATAAGCTTACCATAAAAATGACAAACCCTTAATTTCTTTGTAAGTGGGCAAACTTACAAAATCAGCAGGGGATCAAATAAATCGTTTCCCCACTGTATCATATGTACGCACTGTCATCTGGTAGATGTTCTTGTCTTTGGATGTTAGAGTAACATTTATTAGATATTTTTGTAATAAATGTATAATTTATTATGTACCCTTCAAAATTTGGGGTCAGTAAGAGTTTTTAATATTAAAAAAAGGTATATTATTCTCACCAGGGCTGCCTTTATTTAATCAAAAATACAGTTAGTAGTACTACTGTGAAATATTGTTACAGTTTAAATAACTATTTCTGATTTCTATTTGAATATATTATAAAATGTAAATGATGGTAAAGCTGAATTTTCAGCTTCATTACACCAGTCTTCAGTGTCACATGATCCTTCAGAAATCATTCTAATATGCTGATTTGCTGCTCAAAAAACATTTATTACAGCATTTGTTTGAAATACAATTTTTTGCAACAATGTAAAAGTCTTTATTGTCATCAATTTAATGCATTCTTACGGAATAAAAGTAATTTCTTCTGTAAACTTATTGACCCCAAACTTTTGAGTGATAGTCAGTTTGAATGAAGTTGTGCATACGATTTAATTATCATAGATGAATTATTGTATTTGTTCACAAATAGGATTCTTAAAATAAATTGCAATGCTTTGCAGATGATGCACTCTTTCACAGATATATTAGCAACGTACATGTGCTTTCTGGGAAATAAGGTAATTGCACACTGCCTTCACAAAGAGAAGGCCTATACATTTTATTTAATGTGTGTCTCTCTCTCTCTCACTGTGGTGTGTGAGACAGCTGGCTGTGGCAGATAGTTCGCTGGCGTTTGAGGGTATACGATGAAGACATTAAGATTTATATCTATATCTTTGCATAACTGAAAAAAAGGAAAAATGGAACAAAACTGTCACTGGGGCGGTACCC